ATATTTTATCAATTTTTCAAAAAGCGCTAAAATCGACCCTCGTCAAAAGGCGAAAAATCGGTCAAGTTCATCGGCCAAAATCATCAATTGGCCCTCTGCTTTTGCCAAAATCATTACTATCAGSCGAAAGCACATCCTTTCGTCTTTCAATTTCTGCAATAAAATTTTTGGGCTACTGAAAAGAAAATATTTTATGGATTTTTTAGTCAATGACTTCGAGGTCAAAACATCGCGGGTATGCAATATTTGCTCAAACACGATATTAAATGCAATTTTATTACATCAAACAGCCTTAAACTAACCTTCTGAGGCCTTCTTCTATCTGTGGTCTAGCTTTGGGACATTTACAGATAAGATTGGTTAGTTTTCTCTCCTCGTAAACACCAGAATATCGCCATCATCGTAACTGTAACGTTACGTCGGCCGCCATTTCACATCAAAGCTCGTAGCAACGGTCAAATAAATCGTTCAAAAGCCCCCATGAAATACCAAGCCAATTACATAGGAGAGATATGGACAGCTTCTTTCCATGTTTCAAGTATTTAAAAATTAGCTGGAAGCCGATAGACGCAAGCAAGACACAGTGACAACTCATGCAAAAACAAACTGTGGTAGCGTGACACACAGGAACCCTGGAAGGAAATGCTGATGAGTTGAAAATTTGGATCCAAACATCCTATTTGTTTCACATTTCCCTTAAAAACGAAAATAATTTATTATTTGACAGTATTTTCGTGTTTAAATGATCTCTGTGAAGTGATATTAACAAAATTTAATCATGATTTGTTGAGCAGCTTCATTTGAGGGCTTTAATTCATTAAATAAACATTTCACAATTCTCCGGCAAATACCGTTGAACTGGCTAAAACCAGATTAACACTGGCAAAACCAGGAATATCCAGGTATATTCCATTCACTAGCAGTTCTTGCATCATATGCGACAAGACTTGGTATGGAGAACGTGTAGTATGGCGTCTTGTAACTATTCATCTTTAGTTGGAGGCTTGTGCGGCAGTAGTCTGTTTAATCCTGCTAACTTCACTTGTGTGTTAATCAGTGAGTGCAATAAGAACGTTAAAGGTCACCTAAAGAGTCTTAATTGTCACGATTCATCTGTGAAGAACGAGAAAGAACTTTTATTGGCTAGAGCTGGTAAGTAAGACTTTTTGCATCTACCTATTTCGTAAGAAGCTTTTTTACCGGTAATGGTTTGGATTTTATGTCGAGACTACCATACTTTGTGGCTAAATTCCATTGTAGGTCAATCTCTTTATTCAACGTTAAATTGATATTTAGTTGGTTTCAGTTCACTTTACTTTATATCTCGTTCATAAAATGCGAAAAA